AAAAAAAGTTAAATACAAACTTTTGGGGGGCGGGTAGAATTCTATTTCTTTTTTGGAAGGGTTACTCCCTTATATTTGTTAATATCATGCAAACATTCTCCATAGTAGCCAGGCATGGTTTAGAAGTTATTTTGGAATTATGTCAGGTAGCTTTTGAATTTCCTAACAGAACTGCCCATGTTCTATGGGCCCCATATTCCTATTATTTAACATTTGAAGATTAGACCAGATGATCAGAAAGAGTCACTTTGTTTTTTTCTTTTTTAAAGAAACCACACAGTATATAGCCCTGGTGGTGCTGTCTGGTAAGTGTTAGACTGTTAACAGCAAGGCTGAGGGTTCAAACCCACCAGCCGCTCAGAGGGAGGCGAATGAGGCTCTGTATTCCTGTAAAGATTTCCAAAGCCTCAAAAACCTTATATTGGGTCACTATCAGTCAGAATCAACTCAATGGTAGTGGGTTTGGGTTTGTTTGTTTGTTTTTTAAAACCTTTTGTGTCAGGCTTCTTGCATTTAACATAATCCTCTTTTTCTTTTTTACCTTTTTATTGTGAATTGAGTCAAAGTTTACAGAGCAAATCCGTTTTCCATTCAACAGCCCATGCACATTTTGCTTCAGTTCATCCACTGCATTCCCCACAAGGCACCCTCACTTGTCCTGTGTTTCCTGTTGCCCTTCTTCCTTTCCTAATCCGTCTGACCTTGGTCCTGCAGTCTCAAGTGGTTGGCTATGATAAGATGTGACTCCTTCGCTCACCTTAGTGTTCCCCTTAAAGACCTGTCTACCCTGTAACTGAAAACCGAGCCATGGAGTGAGTTCATGTCCTGAGCTGAAGTGACAGAGAGCCTTAATCTTTGGGGGTTCACCAACCCCTATCCCACATGTAAGCCTGGTCTTTCTGTATGATCATGAGATTTGTTCCCCATTTTTTCTCTCATTCTACCCAGGACAGTCTAATGTCATCACGTTCAGAGCAGTCGGTAGTCATAACTGAGCACCAGCCAGATAGTCTGATAACGGATTCTGATTCATTCTTTGCAAGCACCTGAGATGGGTGGTAATCTGTAGAAGTCATGTACCACCTCAGCACACTGCCACTGAGTTGGTTCCAAATCCTAGCAGCCCTATAGGACAGGGTAGAACTGTCCCTTTGAGTTTCTGGGACTCTAATTCTTTATGGGAGCAGACAGCCTCACCTTTTCCCCTCAGAGTGGTTACTGGGTTCGAACCACTGACTTTGCAGTTAGTTAGCAGCTCAATACGTCACCAGGGTTCCTTCTGGCTACAAAACCTCGCTGCCATGGGATTGAGTCTGACTCACAGCGACTCTGTAGGACAGACTAACAATGTATGGGCTTAGAGAGCCTCATCTTTCTCCCTTCCGGCGACAGTGGGCACCTTAAATGCAGGAAATTGTGTGACTGCATTTGGAGCAAGTCACCAGTAGATGTCACTGACACCCTCCTGTTTAGCTAAAGGGGAAGTCCAAATTCTCTCCTGTGAC